TGTTATCCATTCCACAGTCCCACAGTCTCATCTCTAACCTTCACTTCAACAAACTTCCCTTTGCCTATGGCACTCATGCTGTGGAACATACCTGCAGGAATACCCTTGCCTGCTTTCACTTTCCTCTCCTCCACTCAGCTCAGACCATACTAAACCCCTCTGCTATAGCCACTTTCAGCAGTGTTTACCAATTAGATCCTGCAGTTTGCACTCTTGTTTACAAGCCAGTTGCCAAGAAGGTTCAGGTGGTACCTGCCCCAATGGTGGAAGAATACCACATCATGTGCAGCCTGCCTGACAATCTGCTCACTGGTCTCCAACCACTTCCTACACATCCACCAGACTTCGCTCCAGGCATCTGCTTCACTGCTGAATGGGCTGTGGAGCTTGACCTTGATCCTGCAGATTTGGCTTTGGCCAGAGGAACTCAAACTTGTGACTTGGCTCAACTTGGTCCATGAGCCTGCATTCACTTGGGACATCACAGAGTGCAGACACCTAGACAAACACTATTTCCCACCTGTAAAGATTCCCACAATCCTGCACATGCCTTGGGTCCAATGCAATATCCCTATTCCAAGCACAATACATGCCCAAGTCATAGAGATGATTAAAGATTGCATCAAGTCCAGCATGTATGAACCTTCTACAGCAGCTTACTGCTCCTGCTGGTTCTGCATAGTAAAGAAAGATGGAAAGTCTCTTCACCTTGTGCATGACTTACAGCCCCTAAATGCAGTAACCATCTGCAATGCATCCATCCCACCCTTCATAGAACATCTTGTGGAATCCTTTGCTGGATATGTGGTGTATGTGATGATGGACCTCTACTCTGGGTATGACCAGCACACACTTCACATTGATTCCCACAACCTCACCACCTTTGGTACCCTGCTCAGACCACATCAGCTTACTACTCTGCTGCAAGGTCATGCAAATGTGGTCCAGGTATACCAGGGAGATACTGCATTTGTCCTCCAAGATGAGATCCTACATCATACCTTGCCTTTCATAGATGATGTCCCCATAAAATCTGAGACCACCTGCTATCAGTGCACAGACAGGTCCTATGAGACTATCCCAGAGAATCCTGGGATTTGGAAATTTATCTGGAATCACTGTATAGCCGTTAACTGCATCCTTCAGCATTTGCAGAACATTGGAGCCACCATCTTGGAAAAGAAGTTCATGCTAGCCACTCTGTCTGCTGTGATCATTGGCCACAAGTGCACCTTTGAAGGTCACATCCCTGAGGAAAGCAAAGTACAAAAGATCCACAACTGGCCCAAGTGCTACAACCTGACACAGGTTTGCGGTTTCCTCAGTGTTTGCAGTGTCCTCTGCATCTTCATCAAAGACTTTGCCAAGATCATGTGGCTGCTAGTTGCACCCATGTGGAAAGACATACTGTTCACATGGGATGAGCCACAATGGCTCAAGGACAAAATCATAAAGTCCCCTGCACTCCAAAGGATTGACTATGAGTGTGGTTGTGAAGTAATGTTAGCAGTTGACACTTTGGTCATCACAGTTAGCTACATCCTTTATCAGCTTAGCAAAGACAGAAAACAATACCCTAGTTGCTTCAGATCCATTATCCTCAACAAAGTGGAAAGCTGTTACTCCCAGGCTAAGCTTGAGTTGTATGGCCTCTTCTGCACATTGCATGCAGTATGCATATACATCTTCAGTCTCACTAACTTCACTGTGGAGGTAGATGCAAAGTATATCAAGGGCATGATAAATAACCCAGATCTGCAGCCTACCATGACAATCAATTGGTGGATTGCTGGTGTCCTCCTCTTCTCGTTCAAACTTGTGCATGTTCCTGCAGACAGGCATGCCAGCCCTGATGGCTTGTCCCACTGTCTGTGGTTGGAACTTGACCTGCCCAAGGATGATGACCATGAGGATTGGCTAGACCATTTTTACTATTTCTCTACAGAGGCTGTCAATGACTGCCTGCCTCCTACATCCCTTTCCAATCAAGATCATCATTCCTTACTGCCACCCACTTACCATCAAGCAGGCCTCCCACTGCCTGCATCCTTCTATCTTGCATTCTCTGTGACTGCCCATGCTGATAACCCTTCCAATACCCCTGACAACCCTGCCATTCTGCAGTCCACAAAAGCTCAGGCACACAAGGCAAAGATAGAAATGATCCACACATTCCTCATGACCTGCAAGTGACCTCCTGACTTTACTGATGCACTTTAATTCAGCCAGCTGCTTCTTCCTCCTAGATGGTAGCTTAAGGCATAGGGAACTGCATAGATGGCACCAGCTAGTCATCAATGAGTCCAAGTGGTATCATCTCATCAAAGAAGTGCATGATGACCTTGGACACAAAGGTGTCTTCATGGTCCACACCCACCTTCTCCTTTGCATTTGGTGGCCTCTGCTTGTCAAGGATGTGAAGTGGTATGTTCACACTTGTCATGAATGCCAGATCTGCTAGATGCAGAAGCTTCATATCCCTCCCACTGTGCCCATGATAGGGGGGCCTGTTTCATAAAGCTCACATTGACACAATGCTAATGCCCAAAGCTGGCAGCTACCACTACATAGTATAGGCCTGATGCATGCTCACCTCATATCCTGAGTGGTGCATGTTGCAGGTGGATAATAGTACTGTGCTCGTGTCCTTCATCTTTGAGGACATTCTATGCCATTGGGGTCCACTTTCCAAGATTGTCACTGACAATGGTCCCACATTCATTCAAGCCTTAGATGCCCTAGCCATGCATTATCATATCTGTCACATCTGTATCTCTCCTTACAACTCTCAGGCTAACAGCATTGTAGAGTGTCACCACTATGATGTGTGTGAGGCTATCATGAAGAGCTGCAAGAACAATGACTGCCACTGGCACACCATTGCACACTCTGTGTTCTGGGCTGAGTGAGTCACCATCTTGAAGTCCATGGGTCTATCCCCCTATTTCATGGTACATGGTGTCGAATGACTGTTCCCATTTGACCTTGCTGAGGCTACTTTCCTTTTGCCCCTATCCCACGATGATGCAACACTGCTGACTACCACAGAACTGATTGCTTGGTGTACATGCCAGTTACAGAAGTGTCAGGATGACCTAGACCAGGTCTGCAATAATGTCCTCTGCACATGCTTCCAGTCTATCCAGCAGTTTGAAGCTGCCTTTCAGTGTCACATTAAAGACCATAACTTCATTCCTGGCACCCTCATGCTCATTTGCAACTCCCATGTAGAGAAAGAACTGAACTGGAAGATGAAGTTGTGGTACACTGGCCCCATGGTTGTCCTTCATTGGACCACTGGGGGCTCATACCTGCTGGCTGAGTTGGATGGCTCCATCTTGAGACTCTGCTTCACTGCATTCTGCCTACTTCCCTACCACCCATGGTCTCAAACCCATGTGACCATGACTCACATTACTGGGTTAGATGATGAAGAACTAGACTGCCTTCTTGAGGAGACTGAGGATGACCCCACTGATGATGAGGTAGAGGATTTTGCCTTGGACAGCTGACTATCTGCCCTTTCTGGCACCCACAGCCTGTCCATTGTGCCCTCCCCTTCTTTCCTTCCTACTTGCCTCCATACCCTCTCCTCCAACGATACCCCTACCTCCTTCCGCAGCTTTGCCTGCCTCTCCACAGCCTCTTCTGCTACCCTCATTCCTTTCCCCATGCTGACTGGGGACAGTCAGTGTTCAAAGTCCCCTGCAGGGGTAACCCACACACCACTCGATACCAAACATAGTTTGTTTCCTTTTATCTGTTTTACCCTGGGTTCCAACCAGAGACATCTGTTCCACCCTGGGTTTCATCTGGTGATTCTACTGATAGCTAGTCCTCACACAAAAAAACGTAAAAACTGCTAACAAAAAGTCAAAAACCATCCAGAAACATAACAAAAATAAGTATATAGCTAAAACAATGTTTCTCCTATCTCTCTTACTAGTCTTGCTGATGCCATCCTCGGCCACTATATACCATGGATACTTGCAACTACCCTGTGCATTTCTTCTTCAAATGTGCAGTCAGTGTGTGCACCTTGATCTGTTTTCCTTTCAGTTCTTCTTCTGTCTCCTTGCAATTGATACCCAAAGACCATCCCAGTTACCCAATAAACAGTCCCTTTGTTCTCTCTTCAAGAATCCATCACATCCTACTGTCAAGACCATTCTATGAGGACTCACTGCTGAGAGAAGTCAAAAGTTGCACAAAGAAGACAAGTCAGGCAGTACCCCATGCACAATATGATACTGCAGCCAATCTAGGGCCAGTTCCTCACCACATGGACAGAGGTCTTTCACAATGCCTGACATCACAACTACCAGGGACAAGACAAGGCTTGGTACATTCCTGCACATAAGATGCAGGCCACAGCAAAAATGGGACAGGATGCAGAAGGGTGTCTACAAACTATGTGGTCATCTACTCTATGCCAAGGTCTTCGAGGGCCTCCATGAGCTGGTCAATGTGGACCTGCAGACACATGGTGGCTGCATGCAAAGCCACAGCCTTGGCCCTCACCATCGTCAGCACTTGAGACAAAGCCATGGCAGTCTTGTCATCCAGTCTACCATGCACCAGTGCCTTTCCTTTTCCATGGACCCTGCTCTTGACCACCTCCACAATGTTGTTGTTGTCATCATCATTGTGACCCCACTTCAATGGACTGGCCTTAGGGGCCTTCATGGATCACACTGTAGTAGATTAGCCTTGGATGCATCAAGACACAACTGCTACTTACCAACTGATGTGCCCACCTGCACCTTCTTGCCTGCCACTTTGCTCAACTTTTCACAGCCCTGCTTGATCCTCACACAGGTATTGCAGGTCCTGCCCAATGTTCTGGTACAAGAAACCCCCTTCAGAGTGCACTGCATGCATGGCTCCTTGTGGGTGATTGTACCCATGGCTGCATCAGTAAATCACTTTTGCTGGCCAAAGCTGTCCAAAGCTGTCCAGCACTGGACAGATTCCCTAGGACTGCCAGCACACAAAGTGGTTTACTGATGTGGGATATGGATCTTTGGCCAGGCAGGCTCTTCATCACTCTCAGCAACAGTCTGCCAAGAGTGCTGTGTGGTGGCAGTGTCAGTGAGACTGGAAGACATGCCTGTGTTGACTTACCTTGTGTGCTGGCTGCAGAACTTCCATGTGTGACATCTTCACTGCACCATCATTGCTGAGCTCCACTGCAGTCTCCTCTCCCATCTGAACATCTTGCTCCACCTTTGCACATGCTTCCACTTCCTCCACAGTCCATTGCTTGTATGGATTGTCAGCCTCTGCCAGTGCAGGAGCATCTGCTGTGCCTTGAACCCTCAGCACCACACCTTTGCTATCACCATGTGGCAAAGCTGTTTATGTCCTCTGCGCCACAAGGCTGACTGGGGATGGTCAGCATCTAAGTCCCCTGCAGGTGTAGGGAATCCACATTCCCTGGACACATAAGCCCCTATCATTGACCATTCCATGACTACCATTACATCCCCTTACCACTTGTATCCACCATTGCTCATGCACTACCTTCCCACACCCTCACTCCTCTCATGCAGCTGCTGTGCTTCAGTCACTTCCCTTCCTTCAGACTCTTTCTTTTAACATGGTCTCTGTTCCTGTTTCATTAGTAGTATACCTGCAGCCTCTGTTCAGGCCTGTCTTGTATGTACATGCTGTCACATGGCCTTCCTCTACTTGTACCTTGTCTTACTTAGGTTCTGGGTTTTCCCAGACTATAAAGCCCTGTACTTAGGTACAGAATGGGACCTTTTGGCACTCAGAAGGTCAACACAAGTTTCTTTTCCACTTTGTCTACACTGCATGTTCTGCATACCACCACACATGAACTATGCACACTGCTTGCACTGCTTGCATCACCAGTACTACTCCATGGACCACACTGTGCATGTCACGAATCACTACTGCTACAAAGTGCAGGGTCTCACCTTCTAGTCTTGGCAGTCCAGAATCCCTTGGGATGAGCAACTTGTTCCCTTCATTTTTATTGTTGTTATCTAAGCCATCTAGCTCATATTATACAGCTACTTGGACTTTTCCTACACCAGGTTAGGGACTCTGAGGGCAAAGTTCTGAGGAACACTGCATATGATTGAGCAGCTCAAGTCTGGGGTTCCAGGACTTGAGCTGGCAGACTATATACTACATGTAAATGGATCATGAGGCATCCACATGTAATGAGTTATCTATGCTATTGGTTGAACAACAACATTGCATGTCCCAAATGAGGCACAAGGGAATATTGCTAGTGATGGAAGTAAAAGGCCATTGGAACAAGGAGAAGATGGCTGAGAAAGGAAAGAACATCCAGCAGAAGGAAACAAGGTAGCAATGAGGCAAAAACAAGGATAAAACATAACATTACCCCCCTTCTAAGGCTTGAAGTCCCCAACTTCAAACTACTCTCCATAAGGTTCTCTGGTCATGTTGGTGATGGCAGAGTCATCAAAATCGAAATTGTCATTGTGCCTGTCATTGTCCTCACTGTCAATGAGAGTTTGATCATCTACTAGCCTGGGTGTAGTGATTCTTTCATGTAAGGGACAATGAGGGTGTAAGGACAGGCATTGGGCCTGGGTATGTCCAGGACAAGTGGTGCAACACAGGGGGCATTCATACAAGTTGCAGTTGACATGAATGTGTCCAAGGCAGTGACAAGAGTAACACATTTGCCAGTAACATGGGTCTGACAGGGTTAAGGGCCAAGTGGCCAGACATCCACTTCTTGTAGGAGAAGGCAGGAGGTTTGTGAGCATTTCTACTTGATTCATGGTGGCAGCCAACTCATTGGTGGTGACACCAAAAGTAGAGACTGGGTCTGTTTCAGAAGGGGATGACAGTGAACTGTGAGATTCACATAATTGGAGGTTTGGACCAGACAGGCAACAGGCCCATGGTCGATCTGCTCTGTGAAGAGAGCCAGAGGATGGGGAGGATGATGATGACAATGACAATGCTGGAGGGGATGACAAAATGGAGGACACAGGAGGAGAGGTTGCAGTCAAGGGTCTTCTGGACCCAGGAGGAGGGGGTGCAATGAGGTTGGGATGTTGCCTGACATTGTATATAAGGTCTGCACCTCCAAGGATATCAAAGAGACAGAGGAGAAGGGGGACTTGTTCACAAGCAATTTCATTTAGAATAGTGTGTACTGGGGACAGCAGAAGGTTTTGGTGGTTAACATAATGGGAAAGTTCTTCGAGGCATAGAGCCTGAATGGATGCATGATAGACAAGGTTGAGGGGAGAGTCCTCATCAACCTCATGATAGATGGTGCCAACAATGGCATGGTCAGTGATAAAGAGATGGTACAAGTTGATCATTTGTTTGCTAGCAGGTTGCCACTGATGACAAGCAAATGGGGTGTGGTGATGGGAGATCTCACGAGGATACATGTAATGATGAGGGGGCATTTTGAAGGAGATGGTTCTGACAGTTTGAGAAGAGTGACAAGGAGGTGGTTTCTGAAGGGGAAAGTCTTTGGGGGATCATTTCTTATATGCAGAGAGCATATCATCCACATGTTCAAGGTGTTCTTCTTTTTTCCATGAGTTTTTGGAAGACAGATAGTCTTTCCATTTGATTAAGAAGGCATGTCTTCAGCTGGACCTCTTATGGCCAACTATCGCCTCCACCTCATACTCTTCCTCTTCATTTATCAGATCAGGTGGTGGAGCCAGGAAGTTTGGTCTATGAATGTCATTTTTGCGATAGGTGATAACAGGGAAGCATGGAACACATTGTGGATCTTCCATTGTGCAGGAATTGTGAGGCAATACATGATTGGGGATATGATTTCCAAGATGATGAAGGGTCCTTCTTGCACCTCAGTGGCTACTTTGTGCACTGAGGTGAGCATAGCTATATTTCTACTTGTTTACTTGGTACTGACATAGCATAGAACTCATACCTTCATTAGGTTATGAGCCCCACTCTCATGCTCTAATTCCAAAAGAGTTATTACACAGCAACAATACCCACTATGGCAAAAGATGATCATCTCTTACAAGTCCCAACCCTAAATGTGGATGGAAGCAACTGGCTATACTACAAGGCTCAGGTTGAATGGGCCATCAGTTTGAAAGGGCTGATTAGACACCTGACCAGCTTGGATGTGAAACTGGAGGACCCTTCAGTGGGAAAAGACTCCTCCTGGAAGCCCACAGCCACAGAGCAAAAACTTGTCAGCAAATACCCAGAAAAACTCTGGCAATGGGCAAAGGATGATGGATATGTCAAGCAAGTGATTGCTGTGTCACTTCCAGAATCACTGTTCCTTCAAGTTCTGAAGGAAGAAACTGTGAAGAGTGTGTGGGGTGTCCTCACCAATCTTTTCAAAACTGCTCCCATGTTGTTGCAATCAATCTTTGGAGAAAACTCCAAGAATCTCACTGTGCAGAAAAGGCAACATCCATGCTCACTTTGACAAGATGCATGCACTGTGCAAACAACTTGCCACACTTGGACAGTCTATCACATATGACAACTTCACAGCCATCATTCTCAGTTCACTTCCCACTTCATATGACTCCAACCTTGCAACTATGACATCTTCAGCCCTGGTCATGCAAAAGGACCTATCTCTGGACTTCATAATGAAAGTAATTTCCAATGAATATGATAGGCACCAAACTTGGATGAAGAGGGGCAACTCCAGAAACTCTGGAAATTCCAGAGATGCAGCTTACTCAGCAAAGGACATAAAGAAGTCTACTTGCAAAAATTGTGGAAAGAAAGGTCATGCAAAAGACCAATGCTGGGAAGAGGGTGGAAGAAAAGCTGGGCAAGCACCAAAGTGGTTCCAGAACAAGGCCAAAGGGAAAAAGAAGGAGAAAGGCTCCAGAAAAGTGGCTACTGCAGCCAGTGCAACAGCCAGCTCAAGCACACAGACCAGTACTGACTCCAAACCTGATGGAGTTTGGCTAGTGCACCCATAGGATGATGATTGGCTCACAGAAATTGTGGAGGAAGAAATTCCAAACCCCCAGGACATTGTTATTGATGAAGAAGATGCATACATGAACACCCTTGATCATGTTCTCACAGGTGAAAGCCTAAATTCCACAGAGGAGACCATTCTGTTTGACTCAGGCACTTCATGTCATATGTCCTCCTACCACAGTAAATTTCTCAATTACCAGCCAATCATCCCCAAACATATCACTGCTGCCAATAACCACACCTTCCATGCCATCAGGGAAGGTGACCTTGCAATCTCACTCCCAAATGGCACTGCACAAACCCACATTCAACTCAGGGACATGCTCTATGCTCCCAAAATGGGAATTATGCTTGTTTCCTTTAGCAAACTTGATGTTGCTGGGTATGCTGCATTATTCTGAGACAAGCATTGTCAAATTTTTGACATTTAGAAAAAGAAAGTAGCCAAAATTCCGATGCAAAGAGGGCTCTACTGTCTCAAACTAGCTCATTGTGCCTTTGCAGGCCTAGCTAAGGCCATGGAATCCCTAACAATGGAGGAGATACATGTCAGGCTTGGCCACATTGCTCCTGGAGCCATCCAGCACATACTGAAGGATGGAACAATCACTGGAATTAAGCTGGATAAAGTGCATTCCACTATGGGCACATGCAATTCATGCGAATATGCCAAAGCAACTCAAAAGTCCATTGGGGGGGAGTGCAACCTACCCTGTTGGAGTAGTAATCTGCACTAAGTGGTTAGAGCACCTGGGTATATCCAGGGGGTCCTTGGTTCAAATCCTGGCTTGGTCATATTTTCCTTTAGTTGTTCACTGCTTGGCAAGTGGTAGGGTAGTTGGCCCTGAGGTCACATGATCTCAAATTCAACATACCCTGCCATGAACACCTTGGTGACAAAGCCCACTGAGACCTCTGGGGACCCTCTCCAGTTCAAACCCCAGGCCACAGCCAGTATTATGTGTCATTCACAGAAAACCACACTTGTTACACCACCCTGTATTTGCAGAAGACAAAAGCTGACACCTTCAAATCATACAAAGCTTATGAAGCATGGCTGAACATGCTGTTCAACACCAAAGTCAAGGCACCAAGACTCCCTACATTTGCTCTACAAAAGACCACCCAAGCTCTCAACAATCCCAGTCTGGGGATGTCATGTCAAGGTCCATGATACCTCTGGCTCCAAGCTAGACATGTGAGCCTGAGACAGACACTGGGTAGGTTTTGACCCTGAGAGTGATGGCCACTGCATCTACTGGCCTGACACATGTGCAATTGGAATTGAACAGTGTAGGAAAAGTCCAAGTAGCTGTATAATACAAGCTAGATGGCTTAGATAACAACAATAAAATGAAGGGAAAAAATCACTCATCCCAAGGGATTCTGGACTGTTGAAACTAGAAGGTGGGACCCTGCACTTTGTAGCAGTAGTGTTTCATGGTGTGCATGGCATGTTCTGCAGAGTAGTACTGGCAATGCAAGCAGTATATGTAGTTCATGTGCAGCAATTTGT